TCCTTCCCTGGTGCACACAAAAGGCCTGGGCTACAACTGGAATAGTTCTGAAAACCTGCACTCTACACTTCTCAAATTAGGCACCCAGAAAGCTGGAAATCAGCACTGCATTTGCAAGTTGGAGTTGAAGTGACTTGTCTGTTTTGAAGCTTCTAGAGCGTGTAAGGCAAAGGTTTCTGTGGACTGTGGTCTTTTCCCTCTGCATCATCTTGGCTCACCTGCTGTCCCTCTTGCGCATTAAATGAGGCAAGGTTCCTTTGGAAAAAGCAGTACATGACTCTGCAATTGGCAGTGATGTTAGTTTACCTAGACCACTAGGCCAAAGTAAGATTTTTACAAGCAACCTTAGTTCTACAGTATTTTAACTTTAAAAGCTTGTCTTTGCCAGTTTAACCTCTTTCTAATGCACTCTTAAAAATTAAGTCTGCTTTGACATGACAAAAACATTAGGTACATCACTAAGAGAGAAACTACTCAAAACAAGAGAAAGAAAATTAAACAAGAACATTGGTCGCCACACAGAGACCAAATGAGCTTCATGAACATGGCTCGCTGCTCTGATCACCTCCACAAAGCAAATCAAAATAGAGCTTTACAGAGAAAAGTTTTAGAAACTGCTGTCCAAATGCTTACTAGGGGGGTCAGAATTCTCACTGCAACCTCATTTCCATTTGTCTTTGTTGGAGGACTCAGACAAGTACAAGTGCTACTAATCTAAGATTATTTTGCACTGCATAGCATCCAGTCTCTAAATTCACTGTGAATATTGTGGCTCACAGACAGAGGCTCTCTGAAAGAAGAGGACCTTCAGCTGTCAGGATTTTTTACCTTGGTCTGAGAGTGAAATCAGTCTCTATCAGGACTTCACATTCAGCTGGCATCAAATCACACCCGGTTGATTTCACATACAGGGTGAAAGAAACCCTTCAGAAATTAGACATACTGATCACAGAGCCTTTCTATGAGCAAAAAAAAATGTAAGCGGAGTTCAAGCTTCCTTTCTGGAGATCAGGGTTTTACTACACAGGGGAGATAAAGGAGGTCATCACTTTCCTAAGACTGACATTTCATGTGAAAAGGAAATTGAGAAGCAATTACACAGTGCTAAATCCATCTTAAGCTCCAAGTCTAAACCTTTCTCAAGAAATGTATGTACTTTGCCCTTTTGCCGAATGCTTGAACAGAGGCACGGACCCTTGTTGCACAGTGATCGCCAATATATGAGCTGAGACCATTTCACTTACCGGGTTGTGGATATCGATCCATTCGGTAGTTTTGGACTCAACAAACTTCCCATCAATGAAGAGTTTGGTTGTTGGCTGTGGAGGACAAAACACTGGACAGTAAGTGATCTTTGCTTCAAGGTGCCTAAATACCAGTGTGCCTTACTACATGCAAGCCTTCATCATTTACCGCTATGCTGCCCACTAGAGAGTCTAGATCCAGTATTTACGGCAAGACCCAGCTAACTGCTTAGACTGAAATTTTTCATGCTCTCTACCCCATTTTTCTCTCACTTTACACCAAAATGGCCAAAATTCTTTCTAAGAGCAGTTACAGAAAAAATACATTGCCATGCTTATGTTCAGAACTATTTCAATCTACTTAATCACCCAATGTTTAGGTGATTGTTAGAATGACTAAGATTAGAATGATTGTTAGGTGACTAAGTTAGAAAATTGAAAAACCGCAATTCATAAATGCTCAGAAGAAACAGTTAATAGTTCACCTTGTGAAAATTCCAGGTACCCAGTGCACACTTTACTATGTGTTTCCTTCCCATCAAGCCACTAAGTAGGTTCATCTCTCCAGCTCATAGTGACAGGCATAAAATTGGACCTTCCCCGCTCCCCACTTGGTCCTGTAACTAAGAGCAAGGAACCTGCATCTGCTGAGTTCACAGTGACTATCCTGGCAGGCAGCACAGAAAACAGAACTTTCCAACTCAGTTGCAAAGGAGAGAAAAGGAAAGTTTGAAATAAGGAGTTCAGGTTAAACGTAGGGCAGAAGGAAATGCAGAGGTAGAAGCTGTAACTAGCACTGGATAGGCAACAAAACTGTATCATGCAGGAAAACAGATTGGGATTGTATAAATTAAGAAACTAGAAACTAGGAGTTGATACTGGAAGGTAAGGAGATAACTAGGAGAAAGCAAAAACCAGTTAATCATGCCACAAAACAGTGGCTTGGGGAGAACAGATAAGAGAAAGGGGAAATGTATCTGCTGTGTGAAGAACAGAAATGGGACAGATCAATAGAACTGGGATATAAACCCAAATATATCGGGGAACTCTGTGAAGAAATTAAATTAGGATGTGGAATTATGAGAGGGAGATGAGGATTGGGATGCTATCCAAGGTGTAATGAAGGGAAAGAGATGAAGAATCAGGAATTATAAATGGTGTTGGCTGGTAATGACAGTGAAAAGTGGATGACAGTGAAAAAAGTGAACAGCAAAGAGAGTTGGGACAAGCTGAGAAAGCTTGGAGATGAGAAAGCTAGGATGAGGATTGTAAAGTAAGATTGTTAATGGATAAGCAAGACCTAGTGATTTGGGAGGTAACACCAGGAGTGAATAAAAAATAAAAAGTTGCAGATGGTTATGTAGCTGGAATTACACTTGGGAAAGAGAGGCAGAAGTCTGTGCCTACGAAAAACACAATCCCCTCTACAACTTGCAAGGAAGCGCAGGAAATCTTAGTCCCTTGACTGAGTTTCCTGACTGTCAGAAAAGGTCTTCTAGTGCTGGCCTACAGAACGACAAACTCCTACTGCTACCAGTCACTCTGTTAGGCCAAGCGCCACGTATCTGCAGTGGACCAGTGCTTTATGACCCACGTGGACTTCAGTGCAATGGAATTTATGTTTTTTCAAATTGCTTAAAAGGGATATCTAGAAAATTGCACATACAAAGAAAGACTATTTTAAGCAAGCCAGGAAATGCTGAATTAAGATTGATCACACTTTTTCCATAAGATGACCACCTTTTTTTCTGTAGAGAATGAGCCTGCTGTGGGAACAAGGACTGCAGTAAAGCAGACTATTTGGAGAATCACAATTTAGCTGTTCAGAACTTGAATAGTATACAGCCATGGATACCGGAAGAAAAAAGGCACTATAACAGTTAAAGTTGTTTGATACTGCCCAAAGGAAATCAGGTCCTCTCTCTGCCATAAATAGAGGTTATGAGGCCAGTCCACACAGCTTGAAACAATCTTTTTTCACACATTATCATTAGTCATAGAGTCTATATTCATTTTTGTTGGTCTTATTGAGGAGATATTACACATGGTAAATCTAAAAATCAGAAAAAAAATTGGCTGGTGTCTATGTAGCACAACGCGTGCTACTTAAGGAACGTGGGGAAAACAAATCGGGACGCGATTAACTGAACTAACATATCGCCCCCGGGTGTACCTGCTGGGCCAGGCAGGGCTCGCTACAAGAAGTAACGTGAGGTGATCCCCTCGGCGGCTGCACCGCCACCCGCGGAGGGAGCTGCCCAAGCGGGCACTTCTCACCTCCAGAGTCAAACAAACCTGACATTGAACTTTTCTTCCTTCCCTCCTGTCGAGCACGGGGGCCTCCCCGCCCCGTGCACGGGCAGTCCCAAATGTTTGTTCCAGACATACCAACCCGGAGCCACGGGGAGGGGAGGGGAGGGGGGCCGAGCCGAGCCGGCAGAAGCGACCTTACAAGAGAAGACCCGAGGGAAGTCTTCGGCC